ATCATGTATGTTAGCATATGTACTTGTTGGGCGAGTAGGTGGCTCGAAGTCATTCCTGGGTGTGAGAGACTCGATTCACCCTTGGGTGAAAGTATTTTGGGTTGGGGGTAAAGCATCTTAACTTGAGCATTTATTAAGAGAATCAATAGATGGATATTGTGATATTGGGCCCTCTTCCTAGCTTTACAAATGGAAAAAAATGTCATTAACATCCTGGTCAGCTCGACATGGTTTTAACTTATGAGCATAGGATTGTCTGAGGTGTTTTTGAGGTGGAAATGTCAAGCTTTCAAGGTGTCACCTATATGAAGACCGAAATCGAAAGAGGTTTCTCAACCCGATCCCTTCGACACCTAAGTTAGTTATCCGAAAAAAGTGAGTATGATGATGAGTAGTAAAAAGTGATCTCCCCTTGACAACTGTGCCAAAATGAGTTTTTATACCCGATCATAAAGAGATAAAATTTTACATGGAATATCTTGCAAGAAAGCAGCCCTTAACCACTTCTAACAATCTTCACTTACCTTTTCTCCACGTGGACGATAGGGGTGGAGGTAGTGTATAAATGCCTATCTTGGACTATTGTTCGTGTGGATAGACCAATGGGGGTAGTATCTATCTCCTTTTAGTCTAAACACCACATGTAGGTCCTGCGTTGAATAATGATTGATTGATAATATTCTCCCCATCAAATATCGATGTAAGCTTCTTATAGTCTTTATGCTAGAAGATCATGATATAGGCAAATATAGAATGATAACTTTTCATTCTTTACATGTTCTAATCCTTAATCAATCTATGATTTAAAAATCAATCATATGATTTGAGAATCAATAAGCACATATCAAGTTTTTGATACATGTTGATTTATCGATCGAGTTTTAAAATCAGTTAAAAATGTTATTGCACTAATTCAACCCCCTTCCCCTCCTTAGTGCCTTTAAGATCCTAACAAAGGGTACAAGTTGAGACAATATTGGCATGCCAACATTCCTCAATAAATACTTTCAGATAACACTATGAGTTGAGTATCATTTATGAAGGTAATATTCTTCACCATTGAAGATAGAACACTATCATTGAATGAAAAGGAAGGCGAAAGCCCACCTCGAGAGTATCACAAGACAAGCTAATAGACCCATGAATAGAATCAAATGGACACTGACCAGGTTGGAGAACTTGCAAATCAAACTCAGATGGGATGAAATACCTAGCTCTTAGGCGATCCAAAAGAGGTGCACTCACTACTGAATCACAATCATAAAAGCTTCTCATAAACTCTAAATCCTGAAGAGCTCTCAAGTCAGCTAGAAAAACCTCTTTTGATGAAGAAGACTCAACCACCTCCACCGTTGGGATACCGGAAGATGGAGCACAAATCTTAACTGACTAATAACTAGAAGAGTGAGAATAATTTGTATAAGAAATGAGAGACATTCTGACCTAAAACAGAAGAGCAGGATTAATGCCAAAATGAAGACTGAACAAAGATGAATAAGAGATGCTCCTAAACCTTAGGGCAAAGCCAAAAGCTCCCAAGACTCCGAACTAGGAACTCTAAGGGCTTGAATGAAGGTATGAGCTCCACTAGAAGAGGAGCTTTATAAGGAAGAGACTTATCTCCCTCCTCTCATAATCTAACCTGGTGTCCCTTTGAAGAACACATCCCAAAAAGGGTAAATATAAGACCTACCATGGCAAAGAGAAAACTTAGCAACCCATCATTGTAGGAGAAACCCAAAATCTATAATGACGAAAGAGAGATTCAAAACTTGCTATGGCGAAAAGTCCAAAAATCGCCACAGTTGAGAGAGGACTTGACAAATTTGCCATGATAGAGAGATGGTCGAGACCTATCATGATGAAAGAAAATTGAAATTTGCTATAGTGGAGAGAAGGTCGAGACCTATCACGATGGGAGAATCCTGAAATCCACCATAACAGAAGGGAGATTCAAAACCTGCTATGACGAGAAAGTCTAAAAATCATCATGGTGGAGAGAAGACTTGGCAAATCTGCCATGGCGGAGAGAAGGCCAAGACCCACCGCGACGGAAGGGAGATTCAAAATCTACTACAGTGGGAAAGTCCGAAAACCTTCACGGTGGAGAGAGGACTTGGCAAATCCTCCATGTTGGAGAAAAGGTCAAGACTCGCAATGGCAGGAGAAACCCAAAATCTACCACAATGGTAGGGAGATTCAAAACATGTTATAGTGGAAAAGTCTGAAACCCTCCATGGCAGAGAGAGGACTTGGCAAATTCGCCACGCCGAAGAGAAGGCTGAGACCCGTCATAATGGGAGAAACCTAAAATACACCATGGCAAAAGAGAGATTCAAAACTCGCTCTGATGGGAAAGATCAAAATTTGCTATGGTCGAAGCATAGGTCGAGTGTGCTTAAGATGTGTGATTTGAGAAAACCCGCTCGACACCAAAATAAATTTGCTATGATAAAAGAGAAAGGTCGAATGAGCATGAGATGTGTGAATCAAAAACATTCAATCAACACCGAAATTTGTCATGGCAAAAGTACAAGGTCAAATATGCCCGAAACATGTGTGTCGAGAAATCTTGCTTGACATTAAAATAAATTCATTACAATAGAAGCTCAATGCTGAATATGCTCGAAACATGTAAGTTGATAAAACTCGCTTGACACCAAAATAAATTCACTATAGCAAATGTGAAATGTCGAATGTGTTGGGTCCAACGCATATGTGGGGTTGGACAATTGGGCCTATTGAGCCCAAATCACTAATTAAAAGGAGAGATATAGGGCGGTGAACGTAGGGGAGATAGCGGTGAATGCAGGGGAGATAGCAGTGTGTAGGTGAGCGGGTAGCGAGCGTGAGCAGAAAACGTGTGTAGTGAACGGCGGCAGCACACGGCAAAAGAGAGAGAGAAAAGAAGAGAGAGAGAGAATGAGAGAAAGATTAGGTTTTTGAGTTTTCTGTTTGACGATCGGTGGCCAAACGTTGTCAGTTTTGGCCCAAATTTTATGTGGAGAATCCTTGCAGCAAACTCTACAATCCTAATGGTATTGATCTATAGTTTACCTTCTCTAAGGTACTTTCCTACTATACCCACTGAGACCTAGAATTCTTTTTTGAGGAGATTCATCCTATATGATGATATGCTAGAGCCAAGATCTATGTTCTTGATGTTATTATGATCCTCTAGTTATTCTAGAGAAGATTTACTGTAAACTTGTTATCATTATTATTGATAGTGGAAGTTTGAGGTGGACTATGGTCCCGTGGTTTTTTTCACATTGGGTTTTCCACGTTAAAAGATTTGGTCTTACTGTGTGATTGATTAATTGCTCTATGGGTTTATGCTGTGCTGGTTGATATTTTCATTTGGATATCAAGTTGGTATTTTAATGATTAAATCCATTTTAATACACAAAGAGGGAAAATAATATTCCACTTTAATAGTTTTTTTTTTTCCAACAGAACGTGCTCGAGATGTGTGAATAAGAAAAACTCAATCGGTATTGAAATTTACTACAATAGAAGTGCAAGGTTAAATGTGCTTGAGACGTGTAAGTATGGAATACCTGCTCGGTACCAAAATAAATTAACTACGATCAAAGCACAAGGTTAAATGTGCCTGAAACATGTGAGTCGAGAAAACTCGATCGACATTGAAAATTCACTACGGCAGAAGCGTAAGGTCGAATGTGCCCAAGATGTGTGAGTAAAATAAAACTGATCGATACCAAAATTTGATACAATAGAAACAAAAGACCAAACGTATATGAGACATCTTTATCAGAAAACCCTGACCCACAAAATGAAGTTCCCCTGATGGAAATATCGAATGACATACTTCGAATCACTCTTATTAGAGCCCCGAAGCATACCTACGAGAGAGAATAAATGATAGAAAATTTATCAATAGTTAACCTGTGATTACCACACAAGATCCATATTGTCTTTCATTCACGTACATATACGAAGAATCAAAATAGAGAAGCATATACTTCCTTTTCATTCATTATGACAATAAAGAGAAACACCAACCCTTTCTCTCCCTTTACGACAAAGAGAACAATCTTAACCTCCTTTTCCTCTTTTATAATAAAAAAAAGATAATCACAAATTATCTTTCCCTCCTCGAAAAGTATGAAAGTGTATCCTGATCAAAGACAACTCGATGAAGAAAACTACTTTAACCCATATTTGGAAACCTTAGTTTTTACTAACTTGAATATTGAATGAATCGAGTCGAGAAATCTCTCGACCTTAGTCTTCGTGCATATGATACCTTAAAGAAATCTTTATGCTATAATCCTTCAATCTCGGATCTACCTCAATTTTATCACAAAGTCATATCAAAACCATCTCGGATCCACGTTGGAGTTACCCTAAATCCATCTTAGAGTCATATCCAGAGCTTGATATTTTTACATCATAATATTCCTACGCACACGATCTAAATCGAACTATCCGGATTCGCTCGAAGAACACGGCGCGTTGAGACTTGATCTGGTTGGCCACACCGCATCAAAGAAACGTGGAAGCCGAAAAGCCGTCCATCAAGCAGAGACGAAGCCGCGTGATGGAATACGAAGGAAACGGAGACCTTGTGCTTTGACCCTAAAAACCGCGGTTTTTAGCACCCCACCGCACCGCACCCCGCGTCGGCCGGCCCCCCTCGCAATCGTTTTCTCGTGCAGGGACCGCCGCGTGGGAATCGGTCAACGCATGGCTTTTCCTAACGTCAAGACGTGGGAGGAGGAGGAAAGTCCCTGCGTCCTGTCCCGGTTGAGACAGCCCACGCGCGCACCGCCAGACTTTATTCCGAACGGAGCCCCTCGATCAAAGATGAACGGCTATGATGTCCTCAAAATTGGCGGACGTGAATGATCAAGCTGCCACAGCATCGGTGTCGTACACGCCCAAACCGAAGCGGAAACAGGAGCCGGGCGCGGGAGTGGCCGATCCGTACCCGACTCGTCCCTCCTATTTGATCGCTTTGCGGCCCCCCTCCCTTTTCGTTCCGTTCCTTTAATTCGTTGTGTTGGGCTGCTCGTTTGCTCGCCTTTCGCATTATTTGCGCAACGCCTTTTGGTAATCGATTGATTTATGGCCCCGTCGCGACGCTGATAGGGTTCGATCTGCGGCGATGGAGATTGGGATCCGGCGACTGCGTGATAGGTCCGGGCGCGGCGGCGTCTTGGGGTCCGCTTCCTGGTCGTCCTCGAGTTCCCTCTAATCGAGGGCTTGCGAGGGCTTCGAGGTCGGATCGTTGATCCCCGGCGCGGAGGAGAATGGAGGAGGAGCGCAGCTCTTGGGTGCTGAGGGCGAAGTATTCCCACACGCCGCACCACCGAACGAGCTCGGACCCTGATGTGGTCCTGCTTCCGGATCCCAAGGAATCGAATTCGGATACCGCGTGTTTGCTCTCGGGCAGGTCCTCGGTCCGATCTGGCTCTGATCCCTCGCGGAGCCTGAAGAACTCGAGCGCGGAATCGTCGGCGAAGATATCCGCAAACGGGTCGAGTTCCCAACCTGATGATGGCGATCGATTGGACTTGAAGAAGGCGGAGAACCGGAGCGCCAGGTGTTCTGATTTCTCCTTCTATCCGGAAGGAGTCCCATCTCGTTCTATCGTGGTTGCGACCTCGAAGTTTCCGGTTTCTCATCAGAAAGCCGGGAGCTTGAATTCTACGATGGGCGCTGCCTCTTCTGGAAGGGTTAAACCAGATGCCAACTCCCGTCACGAGCGGGAGTCGAAATCCAAGCAAAGGTCAATATCACCTCTTCCAACCACCGTCCTCTCCGAGGTCTTTAAAGAAGCTCGTTCGATCGGAAGGAGATTCTCCACCCCGCCGCCTTCGAGGAAAAAGTGCGATAAAGCTCGTGCGCATCACGAGCTTGATTGGAGAACAGCTTTGGAACTGAGGAAAGCCTTTGATAAGTCGAGGCCCAGGAAGGGAACTTCTTGGGCGAGGTGCTTCGACCATGGGGGAGGGAAGGTCACTGCCTTGGAGACGACCGAGAAATGGAATGCCGATCTTTCCCAATTGTACTTTGGGCTTAGGTTTGCCTGCGGTGCTCACAGTAGGCTATACCATGGTGTCTTTAACGATAAGCCTGTTGCTGTGAAGATGATTAGTCAACCCGATGATGACGAAAATGGAGTGATGGCTGCACGACTGGAGAAGCAGTTCACGAGAGAAGTGACAATGTTATCACATCTCGATCACCGCAATGTGATTAAGGTGCATGCCTTCTCTTAGGTTCCGCCTTCTTCTGGTTACATATACCACTTCTCTATCATGTAGTTCTGCATCCAACCTGGTCATAATTAATGATAACACTATACTATAATCTGTCATATATATTTTGTCTTGGTTCTCCATGAGCTTGAGCAACATTTGACTAATCCTGGACTTTTCTGTAAGCCAGATCAAAGGTTAATCTAATAGGTTTTCCTGACAAAATTCTTAACTAGAATGTCTTGTGAAGTAATTTTTTTGATAACTTCATGATCATTAGAAAGCTTGCCTCTAAATAAATTAAGTAAATTAATTGGATTATTTTATTGATCATGTATTCAAAACATATCTATGATTGCTAATTTTATCTTATTATGTGCTAGATCTTGAATGTTTTCCATGAACCGTCATTTCTAAACAGACAAGTGCATTTACCAGAATTTTGTTGTTATGCACAAAGGAGTCATTAATATGCTTAGGATTTTCTTTGGGCTTTTTCTATACCTTTCACATACTAAGTTGGTTAATTATTTTTCTTTGATCTCAAGTACTTCAAAATTCTGGACTGAAGAATCCTCCTTTTGATGATCTCAAATTCCAACATCCTTGCTTCTCGTGGAACCAAGACTCTGCAAAGGGATTATAAATAACTTTCCCTTAAGTTGATACCTTTACATGACACCTGTGACTGATGCTATGTTGTAGACAGAATATAATGTAATGCTATGTTAGGGCAAGGATTGAAGGTTTCTATAAGCTATAACTAGTCAAGGGCTGGTCTTCTATAGAACTTTATATATGCACTTAGTACTCATTTGTAGGACTCTATTCTGCCACTTGGTGATGCACTTCATACTCTGATATAAAGAGAAATGTGGGCATGTTATAACATATGCAATTACAATACAAATGTGGGCTATCTTAGGATGCCTCGTCCCCTCGTGTTGCTACAATCATTTTGCTTTTTCACTAGAGCACTGTCAAGGGACCAAATATGACAACTTTTGCTATATTATTTTTTTGCTTTTTCACTAGAGCACTGTCAAGGGACCAAATATGACAACTTTTGCTATATTATTTTGGTATGAGGCATGTTGATTGTTGATAAATATCATAGGTACACATTGCTCATTTTGAAGTAACCTATCTTGTCACCAGCAACATCAACATAATATGAGATTAATAAAGTGAAACAAATCAACTAACTACACCGTAAGCTTCTAGAATTGGTTAACTTAGTGCACTTTTATTTGCTCTTATATTTATGCCATCTGACTACTTATCAACTCCTATTTATCTACCACATAAAAACTAGCATAATCAATAAGACAGTAGATGGTGACAAGTGACATTTAGATTTATAAGCTGTTAGTACCCTTATTGCTTCGAAGAATAAATTTGTATAAATAATGTTGAGCAAGGTAACATTTTCTGTAAAATCTGAATGCTCGAAGTAAGGATGTTAGTTATGTGTTATGACTGTTACATCACCACCGTCACAAAGTTTGATTGAAATAGTTTATGGAATTTGACTAGTCAAGACAGTGGCATGATGTTAACCTTATTTATTTATTTACAAACACTATGCTAACCTTGCTCGGTGATTATCTCTGGTGTAATGCAGCTTGCAGGGGCTTATAAACAGCCACCAGTCTTTTGTATCATCACTGAGTATCTTTCTGGAGGCTCTTTAAGAGCATTTCTGCACAAGCTTGACCACAAATCTCTTCCTTTACAAAGATTAATTGCAATTGCCTTAGATATCGCACGAGGAATGGAATATGTTCATTCACAAGGGGTTATCCATCGTGACCTGAAACCTGAGAACATTCTATTTGATCAAGACTTCTGCATTAAAATTGTTGATTTTGGAATAGCATGTGAGGAAGCATATTGTGACGCACTTACAGAGGACCCTGGAACTTATCGCTGGATGGCACCTGAGATGATCAAACATAAGCCTTATGGGCGGAAAGTTGATGTTTACAGCTTTGGCTTACTTCTGTGGGAGATGGTGACAGGGACAATTCCATATGAGGATATGACACCAATCCAAGCAGCTTTTGCAGTGGTTAATAAGGTATATTTTTGCATCATCATAATATTTCTGTCTTAAGTATAACTACTTTCAGATCATAATCAAACTTCTTTCTGTTTTGTTACACTTTGATACTAGAATTAGAAATAAACTTCTTGTTCGACAATCATGATAAGCATTTGTTATAAGTCAACAAAGACGATTTTTCCTAAAAAATTCGAGTGTAAGAAAGCCAGTTGGGTTTGTAAATATATGTATGCTTAAAAAAGCTTTAAAAAGACAACCATGCATACACAGGCATGCAGGTGTATGGGAGAATAATTGTAATACCACCTCTTATGAAAAAGACTCATGCTATGAGAATAATTGGTGATGACAATCTGAAATCCTCCTGAAAATTTTGCTATGAAAATTACAGAGTTAAAGAATACACCTGGAATGAGAAAGACAAATTAGCATGGGTTTTGGGGTCCATCCTCCCTTATTATCTGAGGATGGTTTATGAACTTGCTTTTGTAATAGCATTAGTATCATGGTGTTTCCATCTTGTTCATAAGGTGTTATGGATAATACCACTCATTTTCTATTTATATAGTGAACAAGAATCAATAATCTTTCCCCAAAATTTTGTGGCTTGCTTTATCGTAAAGATACTATTCATTGACTATGTGAAGATTCCCCCAGCAGAAACGAAAAAAGAAAACACACACGCACACACTAAGGAAACCCTCCACAACCCAGCCACCCAAAGCTGAAACCAGGAAAAAGGTTCATGTGTTACATTTATATATGTACCACTTTGATTTCATTTTTTTTCCATAAAACTACCAGGGTACAGTAATCTAATCATTGGTTATTTTCACTTGATATATTTATCATGTTCTTGAATGGTTGTCCGTGCTTTTACATCTTTATCAATTATAAATGACTTTGTTTTTGGTTACCAAAGGAAAGATTTTAAACTTTTGCATAGTAAATTTTAGCTGTTGTTGTCATTATTGGATAAGGTTCACTCTGCTTTATCATGTTCCATAATCTAATCTTAGTTTCCATGTCTTCTTGAGAAGTAGAGGTATCTGATGCTCAAAGTATATTCTTAATGTTTCAGAACTTGAGGCCAATCATTCCTCTTGATTGTCCTTCACCTCTTCACGCCCTCATAGAGCAATGCTGGGCAGTAGTTCCCGATAAGAGGCTCGAATTTTGGCAGATTGTAAAGGTATTGGAGCAGTTTCAATCTGCTGTCACTCAGGATGGAACATTAAATCAGCTTCAACACTTGACCTGCCAGGATCACAAGAAACGGTTACTCGATTGGATCCAAAAGCTCAGAACTCCCTTGCATGCAAATAGCTCAAAACCCCGATTGCCCTAACTTGTATAACTTGTCTACCTGCGCGCTATTGGATTTTTGCTCCTCCATTATGGTGTTTTGTAGCTCATCTAGTAACAGAGTATACATACACCATGGTTGATGTCAAAATTTTCTCTCATTTGCGGCTAAGCTTCTTTCAGCCTCTCCAATGTGATAGGACTCCTGCATGCATCCATGTCCATGATAAACAGTCGATGCCAATGTCCATATTGTACTGTAGTATGAGGAAAGTATTAGTCTTACTAGGTCAATTTTTTTTATCTAATTTAGATTTGTTCATCAGATGTATAAAAATCTTGTTATTCCCTCTTTTTTTCTTAGGATCTTGAGAATGCATTGCGAAATGGTCGACGCAGATGT